GGGCGCGCCGCCGCGGTGGGCTCTGCGGGCTTTGCTCTGGGTACCGACCTGGCCGAGCCTGCCCGCCGCTCCTGTTTACTTGTTTGGATTTATTATTTTCGGGGGGGGAGAGGGAGAAGGGAAGGAAGCGGTGAGTGCAGCCGTACAGCTCTTGCTGGATTTCCGTAGTCATCTTTCCTGGAGAGTTTCGGGGTTCGTCGTCTTCTAGGCTCTTTCACGCGTGTAATATTGACCGTGTTCGTGAAGGCTTCGTAGAAGGAGTGGGATGGATGGGGGAAGGAGTGATACCTAGCTGTAGTGCAGATCCGATTATTGCAGCGTTTGAGTAGAAGCCTCTGCTAATGGGCCCGAAGGACAGGGGATCTGTCGCTCTGCATTATTTGGAAATGCACTTATCCTGTTCCTTTGCGCCTGAGGAAGGCTGTAGACGTTTGTGGTGGTTTCGCTGCAGTGTGTTGCCAAGCTGCCGATGCTGCTATTGCAAATGTTCTCCAGAGACAGAGGGAAAAGTTCCTGGTTTTTTATTCGCTTGTGTGTGATACGATAACTGCAGTTCGTGTCTGCACACTTCAGAAAATGATGCAGCGAATTAATCCACCAGCTGTACCAAGAGGAATAAAAACTGATTTGAATATCAATACCCATTTTTATCTTTACAATGCACCTATGGCCTAGCTTGATATGGATGAGCTTGTTTGTGGATTCTTCTCCTTGTTTTATCTAGTATTGCAGGCGTTTCTGCCACTTCTGCAAGTTGCTCATGAAGGACATGGAAAAGAGCAGAGCTGTTACCAGTTAGATTTTATTCAAATACTGAGAGTTGCAGGGTATGCCTGCAACTTCAGTGAAGTAAAAGGAGTATATCAGAAGTTTGCTGTGCATTTATGAGGTTCTAAAATAACTCTGCTTTAACCTAAAGGTTTTGAAATGGAAAAGCTAGCATTTGTGTGGCTTACATTGTGTATGTTTATAACAAAAAAGAGTAGATGACACTTTTGTTATGCTCTTGATTCTGATTAATTACAGCCTGAGAAGTATAACGGAGTTACTGCTTGGTCAATTACCAAATCAGTCTTGGCTACCCAAAAAGCTAAATGTGCCAATAGCTTTATATTAAGAAAGAATCCTGTGGTTGATGGGGTTTTTTTGGTTTTGTCTATTTTGGGGGCTGTTTGAGTCTCTTTTTGGGAAGCAGAGGGTGAGAGATTGGTTCTGTGGAGCTTGGGTTGTTTTTTTCTTAATGTGCTGAGAGAGGTTGCACTGTCATGTGGGGCCTGTTGGATTGAAACTGAAGTGATTCTCACAAAAGCAGGTCTAGTAATTTGTAATAGTTTTAATGACAAGTCTGGCTTTGTTGTCAAAATTCCTAGGAACATCTCAGATTTTAATAGTTTAGTGCCTTTGTTAGAGCTAAAAATAGGATTACTCGGAGAATGAGGTAGATGAAAAAATAAAATGCTGAGTTGATACAGTCTTTGTACAGAAGAAATGTAAGATTCAAATTAAGTTTCAGTAAGTATGACTGTCACTTGATGATCAAGGATGAATGAGTAATTATGGCTAAAAAAATCTTTTACAATTGGTTCATGTAAGACGGCTGATTTTCTCAGTCTGTTCTTAAAATGCTTTGTGTTTCTTTCTTAATTGTGATTAACGCTGAATCCTGTTCCCTAACATGTGATATTGATTCTGTTTATTTTTGGTCTGCTGCTTGACCCATCATTACTGCGATTCTCTGACTTGTTAGACTGTACGCCATGGTTTCCCCTATCAACCTTCAGCCTTGGCATTTGATCCTGTTCAGAAAATACTGGCCATCGGGACTCAGACTGGAGCACTAAGGCTGTATCCTTTTATATTCTGAAGTGGATTTAGTGTACCTCACGCAAGTGATGTTTTGGTTCAGCTGCTGGAACCATTCAGAAGTCTGGTGGGAACTAGGTATGCAGAAGGGAAGAGAAAAAGCTCTGTGTTCTGTTGGTGGGTGGCCTGGCTGTTCTGGTTGTTCTTTACGTCAGTTCAAGTTGTATTAATGATGTGAGGTATGGCTGCTCAGTCCCTGTTATCTCAAGTTGATATATACATTTTGTAGAGGGTTACTAGTGTGCTGACAGTTTACAGCAGCTGACTGCAAATCTAAAAAGAGACCTGGACTGAGCTCTGTTTCATTGTACTGCTATATCCTCTGAGATTGAAAAATTCTGTGCTGCCTAGTGGGTTTTTTTTGTGGTGTGGGGTTTTTTTTTGTCTTGTTCTTGATATAAGCTTTGTAATAATGTAGTTGCCTGCTACTGCTTTTGTGTTGCCAAAAGATGCTTTCAAGTGGGGACACTAAAGGGTACAGGAATTGTGTCTCACTAATAGTTTCTAAGTGACTGAGATGAGCAGACTGAATTTGTGGAATAAAGTACCAGCAACCCCGCTCCTTTTTGTTCACTAAAAAGTGAACTACCCATATGTTCATAGCCATATGGTACCATAGCCATATGGTACTATCCAAGCCATGTAATAACATATGTGTTTAAACTTTTAAAAATAAAAGATGCCCTGTAAATTTTTTAATCCATGCTGGCATTGCCCAAACCTTACTTTTCAGCAGAAGAGAATTAATTGAATTCTCTGTTGTCCTGAAATTGACTGAGCTGTGACCTTTTTGGGGAAGGCTTAAGCCATCTTGCTAGAAAAATTGACTTAATCCTCTTTAAACTGTAGGTAAATCTCATCTTTTCCTTTTCTGCTTATATTAGTTTGCAAGTAGACTTTTTTTTGTTTCTTTCTGTAACATCACTGCTCTGTGTGTAAGGTTAATTGCCTTAAAAGGGTTGTCTTTTACAAGCTGAAAAAATAGAACTTGAGTATCAAATCTGAGGCTTAAAGAAGAGTCTGGAGTGAAGTAGCTTGTATGGTGTCTATTATGAACTCCCAACATCTCTTAATTCAAAGTATGAGTAACAGTAATGACCAAGTGCTCTTAATGCTGAATTCGAAACTAATCTTAACTCCATAAATTTTGGTTTTTAAAAGGTGATGAAGGTGATTTAAATAAAGAATGAAGTGTGGATGGGTGGTGCTGTTAATTACTCTCATATTGGTAGAATAGATGAGAAAACAAAAAAAGATCTAAAAGTAAGGATTTGGGTTGGTGGAAAAGGAGAGATCAAAATGCACCTCTTCAGAGCTTACTCACCTGCAATTTGGGGCAACATGGTGTTGCAGTTTGGGTAACGATGACTTGATAAAACCTACTTACTGGCACTCATCCATGACTACACCTGTGAGTTGTCAGTGGGAATTACTTTCTAAATAATCGAGAGATGTATTGCAAGATTATGAGGGAAGAAACAGTTACTGTGCGAGGAAGCAGTAACATTGATAAAAATGTATTTCCTAAGGGAAGGAAAGAAGTTTCATGCAGAGGCTGAAATGTTTGTGCTCCTCTAACTTGATGAAGATGAATATGCTTCTTAGTATCTTGATAGAGATCTTGAATCTTGGAAGAACTGGTTAAAAGCCATCAACTTTGGCTGATAGGTTAGCTCTGTAACCCAACAACACTGCAGAAGTTACATCTCCTGTGATTACTTGCTCTTTGGGAGGGAGGAGCGCAGCAGAAGGGATAGACTCAGACATTTTCCCAATATAAAACCAGCCTCTCGCTTTCTGCTTAGTGAAACTGTTTTGAAAAGTAGTCTTTAGGAAGGAGTGAAACTTGGAAGAAGAGACCTTATCGCTCTCTACAACTACCTGAAATGAGGTTGTAGTGAGGTGGGTGTTGGTCTCTTCTCCCAAGTAGTTAGCGATAGGATGAGAGGAAATGGCCTCAAGCTGCGTCAGGGGACGTTTAGATTGGATATTAGGAGAAATTTCTTTACTGAAAGAGTGGTCAAGTATTGGAAGAGGCTGCCCAGAGAGGTGGTGGAGTTACCATCCCTGGAGGTGTTCAAAAAACATGTAGAGGTGGCATTTTGGGACATGGTTTAGTGGGCATGGTGGTATTGGGTTGACAGCTGGACTGATGATCTTAGAGGTCCTTTTCAACCTTAATGATTCCTAGTTTTCACTTTCATTAAAAAATGATCCATCCACCAAGCCAGGAAACATGAAATTATTACTCGACCCTTGATTGTTTTAGTTGTGGGCTTGGTAGTGTTAGGTTAATGGTTGGACTTGATGACCTTAAAGGTCTTTTCCAATCTAAACAATTCTATGATTCTGTAAGTACTTATTTCATTCTGTTGCTCAAAGATAAAAACAAAACCAAAAAGTGCTTGTTGACCTACAGGATGGCCTATCTGGTAAGGTTTTTACAAACAATAAATGACGTGCAAGGATTCATTAAAGTGGGAGGCACTTACTCTTTAGAGCTGCAAAAGTGTTTTTACTTGAAATGAGGTGTGGACTAGAAAGATAGAGAGTCAGTAAAGAGGTATTCATTGAGAAGTAAATCTTAAAAGTGAGAGAAAAGTCAATCCTCATTTTCTTCTGCATTCATGTTACGAGAGTATAGAAGTAAAGGAATGATAATGCTTTCATTGCCTGCTAGCAGATGGGAGCTGGGTATTAGTGTTTTCCTTGCATCTTCAAGTATAGGTGCATCTTGTCAAGCTTTTACTTCCTTCCTATTGCAAGGAAGTGATCTGAGGAACTCTGAAGCAAGTTTTTTATTTGGTGGGGTTTGGTGTGGTTTTTTTTTTTTGGAAAGGGTGTTGAATATAAAGTATTCTTAAGTCAAGGAATGAGCTAACCTGTTTTATATTTCATTAGTGTGTAAAGAAATTAATATTACAGTCCTGATTGCCTTTGGGCAATTGCCTTTACAGAACATGCTCTCTGTATTTGAACATTCTGCAATTCAGGTATTTTAACTTCAAAACCAGTATTGATTAGAACAGATTAATGTGAGTGGGAACTTTCTTAACCACATTCCCATCTCATTCTTCTTTATGAGGACTCTGTAACCACTAGTGGAGGATAATACATAAATACTAAATGTTGTCTCTAGTATTGATACACTAACATTTAAAAATAGAACTAAAGCTTTTTCTGAAGAACCAAATCTGTGGATACAAATACACTGGGAGTTCACTGACTTAGTATGTTTATCAATTAGAGATAAATAAAGACAAAATAACATCAACAATGTATTGAATTCTCTGAATCCACAAAGTAATTGTGAAAATGGAATTACTTAAACTATAGGTGGCATGGTTCACTAATTGGATTACAAGTAGAATTACTACTCTGTTAATGTTCTTTGTCCCTGATCCTAGGCTTGGGTTAAAATCAGAGGAGAGCGTTGTGGAGTTGGTGACTTAGTGTGCCAGAGGCAGGACTTTGCCATTCTGTGCCCATAAGCAGCAGTTAGTTCTAGATCTTGCAGTTTTAAGAGGGAGAGAAGTCCATAAAAATATTGGGAGGAGACCACTTTCAGTGTAAATCTTAAAACTGATGAGTCACCAAAGTTCCAGTTTGGGATTATTCACTAGCTTAACTTGAGTGGTGTATCCCTTGTATTCCTTTTAAAAAAAAAACTTGATTCTATTTCCAGAGTTACTGAGAAATATTTCTGACTCTGGTTTAGCTAGGAGACTTAAAAGCAAGTGTTTCTGAGGCAGACTGATATTGCTCAGGTATTATCCTTATCTAGAGAAGTATTTTATGCCCTCCGTAGAAAGGAACATTTTGAGCAAGTAACACCAAAGGCTCTGTTCTTCTGTTTTCAGCTACGGACAACAACTTGCTTCCTTTACTGTGTATGAGGAAAAGTTACAAAGGGTATAGCTTAGCAGAACACAAACCTTGGAGAGAGGTCAGATGCTGGACCCACTACTCTTGACTATAGAACAGCCAGCTGATGTCACCCTCTCCCTGACATTAGGATCTGTTGAAAATAGTTAAGCAGTTTGATTCTGTTTTGTGTGTTGCAGGGGAAACTGAGTGATAAGGTAGGCAGAAGAGCAGAGTGACGTAAATCTTAAATTTATTTCTCGCGTATACCCACGCTCATCTGCTCGCGTTGATCCAGTTGTTCCTCTGAGTTTGTGGTGCTGATCAGAGGACACTCATTCCAGCTGCTTGAGGTGTTTGGGTCTTGGCTGGTGGCCTGGCTCTTGTGTGACAATTCCGCCTCAGGCTCACTGTTCTGCACAGTGCTGGATGCTTGTGGATGTGTTCCCCACAAGGAGCAATTGTGCTCGCTATTGATTTCGGGCTGCAATGGTCAGTGTAAGCTGCTGGTGGCCTCATTTGTCACTGCAGGCCAGTATCCTTGACCTTCTCCATACTTAAAGAGATTTAGCTGTTGTTACCGGGGTGGCTTTCACCTTTTGCTCTCCTGTCTCAAATGTGTTAGATATCAAGTAGTTAAAAGTTCATCTATGCTTTGCTGCTTTCCTGTGTATACTTGAGCCATTACAGCAGGACACATAGTCCATAGTCTTTAGGAAGCTTTGTGCATAATTAGCTGTGCTTTGTTTTCCCAGCAGATATCAAAACCTTCTAATGAGTTAGAGTTGAGTATATGTACTCAAGGTTTAACTTACCTGAATGGTGTAATTGGGTAGACTTCACCCCGTGGCATCCTGACAGCTTTCAGTGTCATAGGTAATAGCCCTGCTTCTGTGCTGTCCATTGTTTTCAGTCTTCTGCTTAAAAGTCCCTCTGGAAGTCGAATGTGATGTGAACAGGTAGCATTTGAACTGTAAAAAGGTTTGAGAAAGGTGAAGTGGACTTTTTCAGGATTTGTCTGTCTTTAGGATGTTGTTTCCTCGGCATTTAAATTACTAATTGTACAGGGCTCTGGGCTTAATAGTCAGCTGAGCTTTTCTGGTTGCTTTTATAGGAGG